TGTGTAAACCTTCATCAGCAGATGGGAAAGGGGAGGGCAGTTCAGCACATCCTGCCCACTTCACCTGGGCATAAAAACGGCCAGGGGCCTCAGTGACACTCACACTTCACCGCCTCTGGATCCAACCACACACACTGGGTGAACACACACTCTCTATTCTCAGAAAATACATCCGAGCTCATTTTTAACCAAACCTTCCAAGATGCCGTGCATCAATAGCCAACTTGACCAGATGATGAAGCTCCCCGGTAGCTACAATGATATGGTTGAAAAAATCTGCATGGTAAGATGTACTTTCTATCTGCAGCTTGAATTATTATTTATTTTATTTTTTTTATTTTAGGACTGCCGAAACCTTGTGAAGGAAAATTATTATTATTTTTTTTGTACTCCTCAATTTTCCCCGGATCTGGGCTTTACCTTGTTCAACACAAAAGCTTGAGAGTTGGGAAAAATGTGCTTTTGTGCTTCTTCTCATCAGCTCTGTTCTTTTTCGACTGCAGGTGGAGGAAATTCTGTCTGAGTTTAGATTGAACAAAGAGGAGCTGGAAGAAGTCATGAAGAGGATGCAGCATGAAATGAACAGAGGATTGCGTTTGGAGACCCACGAAGAGGCCAGCGTCAAAATGCTTCCGACCTACGTCTGCTCCACCCCCGAGGGATCAGGTAGGAATTCATTCTGTATAAAGAGAAGGAAATAATCCTTTAAAACTTTAAAATTGAAGTGAACAATTGTCTATGAAGTTCAAATGAAAAAAAATTTAAACTTGTTCTTCTTTGGTTTGATAGAAGTGGGAGATTTCTTGGCTCTGGACCTCGGAGGGACAAATTTCCGTGTGATGCTTGTGAAAGTGGGTGAAGACGAAGAGGGAAGTTTCAAGGTGGAGACGAAGAACCAAATGTATTCCATTCCTGAAGATGCCATGACGGGGACTGCAGAAATGGTCAGTGAAAACTGCTGTTTGTCTTGTTTTTACGCCATCATTCGTTTGGCTTTTTCTACTTACAGATACTCAAAACATATCAGCTCAGCTTGGAATCTGTGGATATTCAACTAGCTTAAATGGCTGTACTCTAATATCTGTACTCTAATATCTTTTATTTTTCTGATCCTTTTAGCTGTTTGACTACATAGCAGAATGCATGTCTGACTTCTTGGACAAACACCACATCAAGCACAAGAAGCTTCCTCTGGGTTTCACCTTCTCCTTCCCCGTACGGCATGAAGACCTTGATAAGGTACAAATATAGTTTTTCTGTTAGTAAGCAAAATTATCCTTCGTATTGTAAAGTTCATCTATCTAATGGTACTCATTTTTTTTACTCAAACAGGGAATTTTGCTTAACTGGACCAAAGGTTTCAAGGCCTCTGGGGCTGAAGGGAACAATGTTGTTGGTTTGCTCAGAGATGCAATCAAGAGACGAGGGGTGAGTAAATATACACATTTTTCTCTATGTAAACAATATTATTGTCTGCATACATGGCAAACATTCTAATATGATACAATCTCGTCATACAGGACTTTGAGATGGATGTGGTTGCAATGGTGAATGACACAGTTGCAACCATGATCTCCTGCTACTATGAGGACAGAAGCTGTGAAGTCGGGATGATTGTCGGTAAGAAGCCATAAACACATGCAAATGTGGCTGCTCACCAGAGTTGCCAACCTTTGGAAAGAGCTTGAATTGAGACAAGAGGAAGTGTTGAGTACTAAAGAAAAAGATAGAAAGCAAGTTTTTGTGACTAATAATCGGTCATAAAAAGACAAGCTACAATGCTTTCTCCAACATATCTGTAAATGTTTTTTTTTATTTTTTTTTATTAGATTTATTTGGAAAGATTGAGAAAGTGAAAAACAAAAAACCAGACTGTCTCACTCCAGAAGAGTGAGAGTCGGCAACGCTGAGTTGACACAAACTCATAAAATGACAGACACTAATGTTTTTTTTCTCTGTGTGTGTTAATCTTCAAGGTACTGGCTGTAATGCCTGTTACATGGAGGAGATGAGGACTGTGGAGCTGGTGGAGGGGGAGGAGGGCCGGATGTGTGTGAACACCGAGTGGGGAGCATTTGGAGACATGGGCGAGCTGGAGGAGTTCAGGCTGGAGTACGACAGAGTGGTGGACGAGACCTCAATCAACCCTGGACACCAGCTGTGAGTAAAAAAGATGCATTAAAATTAAGCATTCAACACGTTCACACAGGCACGCATGTTTGTATTAGGCCCAGCAATCTTCTCAAATTAGTCAGTGAATTTAATCAGGACAAGGGTCAAGACACGTGCCGCCCACTCTGACCCCACCCTCCATTCTCCATCTTGTGGTGTTTTTATGAATTAAGCATCCATCTATGGCAGAAATCACCTGGCCCTAAACTGTGGTCTCTGTAAAGTTGCCGAGCTACCAGCTGTTTTCCTCAGGATGTAGGCAAATGGACAGAGCTTTCGTACGTCAGTGGTCGGTCAGTTGGCAGGTGGAGATGTCAGATTAATGGCCCCTTTTGGCTTCTCGCCGTATTGCCTCCAAGCCTAATGGCTGTTTACCTTTTATGCTGGCTGCTGAGTCCAGCCTCAGCCTTGATGTCTCCTTCCTTATCCGGTCGTCCTCTGACTCGCAACCTTCATACTGAAACATACATCTATTATCATGACACATTTCTTGTACTTCACCATATTTTTGATAACATGTCTCCCTCTGCCTTTTCTTGTTAATGCAGGTATGAGAAGATTATAAGTGGAAAGTACATGGGGGAGCTGGCGAGACTTGTCATGATGAAGCTGGTGAATGAGAACCTGCTGTTTGACGGCGAAGCCTCAGAGCAGCTGAAGACACGAGGCAGCTTCGAGACGCGCTTTGTCTCCCAGGTTGAAAGGTAAGCATCAGCAGTGAGTGATGGAAAAAACATTTTACTGATATCGCCCATAAAATGCATGCAAGCAGATAAATAGGAAATGGTAGCTAGGCTACAGATGTTTTAAAGCAGATAAAAAAGAAACATTAGTGCTCAGAACATTAGACTAGAAAAAAATGTTGATATGGAAAGACATGGTGTGTGTTTTACTACAGTTGTTATGTATTGTTAAATTGAATAGAGCTTAAATGGGACATGTTTGTAACAGAATTTGTTTCAAACTTCTAAATGGAAAAAAAACAATTATCATAAAGCAGAAAAAAAACAAAAAACTTCAAGTCTCTCTCTGTTGGTTTGGGGATGCATAGGAAGCTGACTTGCAAGCATTTTACAATCAAAATAAGATTCTATAAAACAATATTATCAATAACAGGAAAATTTATTTTTGAGAACTGTTTTCTAAAATGTGACATTTTCCTATTTTTTAGTGACTCTGGGGACAGAAAGCAGATCTACAACATCCTCTCCTCTCTGGGTGTCCTTCCCTCTGAGCTGGACTGCGACATTGTGCGTCTGGTCTGTGAGAGCGTCTCCACTCGCTCTGCTCATATGTGTGGCGCAGGCCTCGCCGGGGTCATTAACCAGATGCAAGAGCGACGCGGCCAAGATACCATGAAGATCACAATTGGGGTTGATGGATCCGTCTACAAGCTGCACCCTTAGTAAGTGTTTTAGCTGGCTCAATAGGTACAAATATGAGTCCAAGTAACATTAGTTCATCACAGATGGAGAATGCTTAATACTAACAGTTGTGCCTCTGTTTTACAGTTTCCGTGACCGGTTCCACCAGGTCGTGAGGGAACTCACCCCTCATTCTGAGATAACCTTCCTGCAATCGGAGGAGGGCAGCGGGCGCGGAGCTGCTCTGATCTCAGCAGTGGCTTGTAAGATGGCATCATGGATCTGAAGAGAGGAATCCACTGAAGAACAGCAGAAAAAGCTCAGAATTAGGTTGTTTGTGAAATCCTCTCCAAAGATCTGCTGCTGAGAGTAGTGGAATAGAGTACATGCTACTCACAGATTTAAGGACAAAGAGGCCTTTAAATATCTTGTGAATGCAGCCTGTCTCTAGTGTCATACCATCCTGCAGCAGTTGTATTGTTTCTGACCTTAAACGACTTGTTTACTGTTGCATTTGGAACTTTGAGCGGCACAAAAGCTAATGTAAAATACATGCACTGGTTATTTGGACCGATTTTAATGTGTATTTTAAAATGTAGCTAACTAGTTTATGTACAGCGTAAATATTTTGTAAAAGCTGTTGTCAATCAGCTCCAACTCAAATTCATTGCTTTCTTGTCTATTTTTGTTTGTAAGCATTGAAATATATGTTATTGTTTATTTAAAATTTTATCTTTACATCCTATTTACTTTGTCAGCATGTACTGTGTACTTTTTTTCTTATGTGTAAGATGAACCATACTTATACCTAAATGTAAATAAAACATAATAATTAAATATTAAGTTTTGTGTTTGACTGACATATTTATGAGATATTTTATGAAAATTTGTCAGATCTCAAATCTGTCAACAGGTCAAAACAATGATGAAACCACAACAAATGGAAAAATTGTGTCTTAATGTAGGTGGTGGTTGAACACAGTTGGAGGTGAGCAATAGTTGAAGAAAACTTTCATAAAAATAAAAATAATTCAGCAAGAAAACACAATGAGCCAGGCCACAAGAACAGCAGAAACAAAAGGACAAAGAACCATGAAGTTAATGGAAGAAACCAGCAAGGAGTGGATGAAAAAGAAGGTATTATACAAAATTAACGTGACATTTTAGTATCTTTATGATTATTGACAAAATAATCTAAATCATTATTAATCTCCTGGGGTCACTTTGACATTAGTAATGTCTGTTTAATTGTCTGTCAAAGGTCAGAGGTCCATTTCTTCTGTGTGCACAGCTCTATATCTGTCTTCCCAAGCCCAGAGGAATCCAGCATACTTCACCTCTTATCAAGCAACCTCAGTGACACAGGGAGCTCACATGGCCATGTAAGGGGCTCCACGGCCCACTGCAAGCCGTGATAGGAGGGTGTCTGATAAGATGGGCTGAACATAAATCCCCCTGCAGCATCATAACTTGGCTGAGAATCTAAATGCATTCATTCAGACATGGTGAGTCAACCAAGGTTTTGCATTATTTTAAATAATTTCAGGAACGAATTATTAACTACGTTTTTGCTCTGCTGTCATAAAAGCATATGATTTGAATGTTTTTGTTGATCTTCTCAGGCAAGTAAAAAGGCCTCCAATAAAAGGCAGAGGGGGAATCAGAAGTCCTGCTCCAATGTATTTTCAATGTTCGAGCAGTCGCAGATACAAGAGTTCAAAGAGGTAAGGCAATGCTTACAGTTCCCTAAAATTATTATTTGTTGTTTTTCTTTTGTTCTTATTTAAGTACACCAGCCATACTTTTGTGTAAAATCAACTAAACCCACTGTATGTTAAGCAGTAAGTGCGTGGATTCCTGGAAAATTGAGCAATGGACATTCAATTTCGTAGTATTACAATATTTACTGAACTCACAACTAATTAATGTGCACAGAAACTAAACAGAAGGAAAAATCTAAAAAAAAAGAAATTAAAATAACTGATCCATTAGTTTCACCTTCAACATGAATTTATCCTAGTTTGTTTTAATTTTTTGTGTACAGCTGAGCTCCAAATGCAGCTGAAATTACATTTATTCAGAAGGGGTAAAAGAAAAACAAATTTGTGTAGTTTTAATATACTCTGCTGTAATTTGAATTAAATAATTATTTTCTTCTAGACCTAAATGTAAGTTAAAATCATCGTCTTTTTGTCCACATCTTAATATTTTTTCTGCAGGCTTTCGGTTGCATTGACCAGGACAGGGACGGGGTGATCAAGAAGCAGGACCTGAAGGAGACCTACGCTCAACTCGGTGTCTAATTTAATTTGTTTACTTAGGGCATGTTAGTAGCTGAATTCATATTGAATAAACAATAATTTGTAATCTCCACAAAGTTACCTGCTGCACCTGCTGAGTCTATTTTCATCATACTTACTAAATGTGTGTTCACCAGGAAAACTTAACATTAAGGATGAGGAGCTGGAAGAGATGCTGAATGAAGGGAAGGGTCCTATCAACTTTACTGTGTTTCTGACACTTTTTGGGGAGAAACTCAACGGTAAGGGACTTTTATAGTCGTGAATATTACATTTGGGATTTCTTTGAGGGACTCCCAAATGATACATGTAGATTTTCTTTGTCATCTTTCAGGGACCGATCCCGAAGACACCATACTTGCTGCTTTCAAACCTTTTGACCCCAATGGGACAGGTTTTGTTAATAAGGACGAGTAAGATTAATTTTACTGTTTGGTCCTAACATTGCTCATATTAGATTTAGAATTTATTGTTTGTCACTGTGCATACATATTATGAGATACAGCCAAATCCAAAAACAGTGACAAAATACATACAATATAGACATACAGTACATATGGTAATATTTACATCAATATATATAAATTGAGTTCCCAACATATGTCATACATAAATATTATTTATTTTAAATTATTTTTATTTTCCATAACTGCTTAACATAAAGTTTCTGACACAGTTTTTTTTTTTTTGCTTGTTTGTTTGTTTTTTTTTTTTTAGATTTAAACGTTTGCTGATGAATCAGGCTGATAAATTCACGGCAGAAGAGGTCAGCTATATTTTATGGATTGTCATTTACAAAGTTGTAAAATTTGGGTAACACTAAGCATAAAATTTGTCCTGTCAACAACATATAGGTGGAACAGGCATTCACTTTGGCACCAATTGACCCAATCGGAAACATCGACTACAAGCAACTTTGCTACATCATCACACATGGAGATGAAAAGGAAGAATCGTAACAGGCCTTATGTGTACTCAAGTAACAATGCTACTGCAGAGGAATAGTTGACACTGGCAATTATTGGAGATGAAGTGGATTTTTTAAAGATATTTAAAGTTACTGTCAACTGCCCTTCTGTTCCTTTGAAGAAATGCTGTACTGAAATACTTAACAAATAAATTGCTGGACTTAACAAATAAATTGCTGGACTCCCTCTAAAAATTAGACAAATAAACAATTAGAAAAATTATGATTTGGTTTGTAAATGATGTGACAATTTGCAAATAAAATTCTTCAGGGGCTGGAGGATACATTTGATAGGATCTGACATGTCTCAAAAATGCTCTTTAACTTCTTCAAGCAACATGAAAATATGAGATATTTTTAGAAAATCTTTAGAAAAGCATCATACAAAAAGTCTGTTTCAAATCGCTGATGAAACAAAAATATTTTAAAAAAAGTTTATTTCACACTTCAGGTTGCAACAAAACATACTACAAAACATCTTTACAGTGAAACACTTTTTTTTCAATTTGGGAACCACTGATCTAGATTGTATGATACTGACAAATGTCACAAACACATTAATTTCCAGGATTCCAAGTTCTTTTTGCCATCTTCCATTTTAAGTGTCCGTGGCTTTGAATTTCCCCTCAGAACTGAAATAAAGAAGAACCTTCCTCCTCTATGCAGATCATAAAACCCAACATTTGTCTTCTTTTTTCCATTGCCAACATTATGCATCAGAACAGAGGATTAAAAAATGATGAATAAAATTTGAGTACATACTAATATGAGAAAAGTGTTTCAAAAATGAATGTTTCCAGAGCAGAAGCGCAATAATAAAAAAATGAAAATGATGCAACAAAAAGTTATAAGCAATGTGTGCTCCTTCAGGTAAAACACTGATTGTACTAATTAACATACAAATAATTTTAGAAATTCAGTAAGAGGTAGTTAGAATCTTTCTTTGTTTCTTTGTTTTGTTACCAAGGATTCAAATACAAACAGATCCATAAATTCTTTAACCAAATTTTCCAACTCATAAATTAAACTCAACTGACTAGATTGGGAATAGTTGCAATTTCTTCTTTTCACAACATCACCACTACAAAGAAGAAGGTATGCTTCTTTTACTGTCATCTCCTTTTTTCCCTCCATTTTGTTTCTAACCTCTGTGGTTGTGCTGGCAGAAATGCCTCTGGTGCAGACAGAAAAAACCAACCTAGATGTAAAATCGAATCCAAACAATAATAAGGATCCAGATTCACTGAAGTTTCGAAAACTAAAGCATCAGGATGAGACCTGTATGATAAGGTGAGAATCAATTAACTTGTTGAAGAAGTTAATGTTTATGAATAAGAAAACGGCCACATGTTTTGCATTTTCAGTGTTTGGTGTATCTGCAGTTCCATGCTTATTATTATTATTATTATTATTATTATTATTATTATTATTATTATTATTATGTTGCTGAAATCATTACCATTAAAATTTTATACTTGTACAAATTGTTGGCATACCCTTTAAGCTTCTTTTTTTTTTTTTCTCTGGAGATTAAAGGAGCTAATTTTAATCATTTAGACATCAAACATTTCTAAACATTTATTCTGGCAGCAGCTGCTCCACCACTGACATAAAACTCACACCAGATGTCAGGAAGAACCCAAATAAGGAAATAATTTGAAGCACATTAGTCCACAAAAAAAGTATTGGTTAAACATTATAAATGGTACAGCAAATAAGTGCTTTAGATGCCTTTCTTGGTAATGATAACTTGAAGATATCTTTGGTAAAGAAATAACTAACCACCTTACTAAAGTGGGATTTTGATCTATTCAACCACAAAAGGTGTCTTCAAATCTTAAAAGTTCTAGGAGTCATTTATTTCCACAGATTTTCAACTGGGTATAAGTGAAGTGATTGGCAGTTCATTCTGGCAGTTCGAAATTTTTTTTTTATACCAATATTGTGCTGCTGGGAATCCTGCCAGTACTGCATGCTTTACCACATGATGTCTGCAGCTGCAATCTTCCCCTTTAGGATGATGTTTCTGAGGTGATTCATAGATGTGTTCTCCCTCCAAACATGATGTGTTGAATTACATCAAAATATTTCTGCTTTGACTTTATCTGACAATATTCTTTCAGTACTTGACTGGTTTGTCCAAATTTTCTGCAGCAAACTTTATGCAAGTTTTAAGCTTCTTCTTGAAACTTGCATAAGCTTTGTGCAGCAATCTTGTGGATGGCACTTTTAATTTTTAATATTTACTTTTGGGATTAATAAAGTGTTTTTGAGCTGAATGGACTTCTACATCAGAAATATGATGAGGGACACATGATTGATTCATGAAATGATGCTTCCACTTGCGGCTTAAGGCTCCAAAGACACTCATCAGAATACTAACAAAAGTAAGCTTTACAATAATAAGAATTTTTGTAAAGGTCTTCTTGATGTTATTGTTCCACTTTATACCACACTTTAGTGATGAGAAGCTTTTTTTATAACCCAGCTGTTAATAGTAAAGCAGCTGATATTGATTTACTCGTAACAGAAGAAGGAATGCTTTTTAAATACTAGCCTATTTGAGATGTTTTCTTTGACTATTTTGCAGACTGTTGCCAAGAACTGGTGTGAATTTATGTAAATGGCCCTATTAGAAATCATTGACATGCCCAGTGCTTATTTTACCACTTATGTGTGTGTGTAATCGGATTTAAACAGGTTTGAGGAGCTTAAAGTTTGCTTAGATGTACCGCCGAAGACCCCCTGTCCCATAGAGGTAGGTGCTATTATGATTTAGAGGCTTTCATATTAGTCCTATCCATGTAGACATACACAAGATCTGTACAGTTTGTCTTTTTTGATCTGACAGTGCAGAATTCCAGCTGACCTCGGGATTAAAGGTGAGAAAACGTTCAGGTCCACACACAAACTATCAACTTCAATTTTCCACCAATGCGATATGAAGGTTTTAACAATTTATTAATTTGTCACATCAGTAATGTCCTTCATTAGCTCCAATGGCTAATGGAGCTCCACTAAGTGGAGCTCCATTAGCCAGTGGAGCTTATATTCAGTAGGAAATCCTTTTATCTGTCTGACCTTCTTCATGTGAACATGAAGAACACAAAGAAGTAAGATTTTTTTGTATTCAATTAATTTCATTCTACTTTTATTTGAAGTGAAGGATTTTTTAGTGTCTTCGAGAGTCAAGAAAGATGCCTATGAAATGTATTATCATTTAACTGCTCATATGGCCCTGCACTCTTTCCCCAATGTTTGTTGATTTTTTTAATCTATTAAAAAGCTCCAAAAATATCTCTAAAGTACAATTCTTGACAAAGTTGGTAGAGTGAATTTAAATTGGTTGGTTTCATGGAACGGACTCAGCTCAGCAATTTTTAACAAGATTGAGTTCAATCAGATTGACAAAACTCCAGCAAGATGTACCAAAATATTGTTGATGTCTGATGACAACTTTAGGGATTGTGGTTGAGGGTTCATGCAGAACATTAATCAACCTTTATGACCTTCTGTAAGTGTCCAATTAGAAAAAAGCAGTGGCTTTAATATCAGTTTTTCTGAAATTTGCTTTCAGTTCCTAGAGAGCAAACGACTCAGACAAGCATGTGTCATCGGTGTGTGGAGACCGCCACAGCAAGACCACCACCAGCACCCAATCCCATCGTGTCATCAATGTGTGTCATACTGTGAAAACCAACATTTGACCCTGATGTTTAGTTGACTGGACTGTTATGTACTGTATCGATCCCTCAGGATAAAACCTCCTGCATCTGTTTTTGTCTGTGATTTGTTTTTACTTTTAAGAGTCAGGAGGACCCTTTTCCATTTTAGGTAAGAAATACTCAGCAAGATTTCCACGTTTCTTTGGCACTTTACTGAAAATCATAACAGATTTCTGTTAATTATCAGTATTATTTTTGCAATTAAACTACATAATAAATATACAAAGGTAATTCTATTTTTAAATCACACAATTAGTTTTTTTTCCTCCTGATTAATTATGTGAACTAATAAACAGAACTCATTTAGACCTTTGCATAATCACACAGATAACATGCAATCTGTAAACTAAAATTCTTAAGGAAAAGAACCATTTCAAGAGTCAGTTTTCTTCAAACACACATTTCAGTCCAAAAGCTGACGTTTTTCAGCAATAATATTCAATTGCAATAACAGATAAGCAGTAAGGATGTTCCTTTTTTCTGCTCTAGCAGCGTCAATATTGCACATAATGTCACTGGCTGAGTTTCCACTTAGCTGCTCCTTATTAAGTCCATTCAGGCATTCACTGTGTCCAGATAATGTGAAAACAAAGGAGTAACTTTGTCTATTTCCATCATGTGCCTGTCAAAACAAGATGGAGATCTTGTCCCTTGTGCTGAAAGTTGATCTCAGTCACTGTTGCTGCTGCTGTCATCTCCCACCACCATACTGCTGTACTTTTTCTGCTGCTGCTCCTTAAATGTGTCCTTGACCTTTGCCCTCTTCAGACCTCCATCCCTGCAGAGCCACAGATCAATTCAACATTTTAAACCTGCTGTATCTCTCACTATCTGAGATGTAAAGGCGTCAACTGTTTTACCAGACAGTTTTGAAGTTTGAGTTTTTCTTGTAAGTTTAGGAATAAAGTTTCAACGTTTTGAGATAATTCACAAAGAAAAGAGGTCAGCGCTTACCACTGAAGGTCTACCAGTCCTCCTTGGTGAGCTATGGCAGATTTCACTCTGTTGGCAAAGTGGACAGCATCCTCGCCCTCCTAATATTCAACAATAAAGAACAAACAGGATATTCTTCTGAGTAAAAACTGACCCACTTTGCGGAGGTACTGAGTTCTTCCAAGCCTGTGAAACCAACCTGTTGGTGCATGGCTGGAAGGTACCAGACGTTACAGACGAGAGCCCAGCTCGTCATCATCCGCAGCAGGTAGCTCACCATGCTGTACTTGGAACTGTTCCAGAAAGCATCTCCGAACTTTGGGTCATACTAAAAATGGACCGGCAAGCAGGTACAGCTTCAATAAAATAGATTCAAACACTCATCATAGACATGAATGTCATTACTTTGGGACTTTTGGGTAGGTTTGATAATACAAACTTTAATATTTGTTAAAAGGATAACAGTTTAAAGAGTCATTAGAAGGCCAGAACTGAGGTATGAC